TAATTTTAATTGCTTTTAAAATAGTACTGGTATAGTTTTATTCTATAAACCGTAAAATATTCTTTGGGATTATTTTATTTTATACTTAGTAAATGAATGATTTTAAGATTTTTTTAGCAAAAATTTTAAAAAATAAAAACAGCTTATGGCCTTTGCATGAAAGCACTGGCATTGTACAATTCTCTCGAGAAAGCTAAAGGTATTAAAGAAGACAAACTGTGTGAATCACCTAGGTGATTTGTCGAGTAGTAGATGGAAAAACTAAAAACTCAGCCACCAGAGTCCTTAAAGGCCATGTTGGAGCGGGTGTGGCCCAATTCAGGGCTTTCTGGCTTTTTAGGTTGCCTCGGTCCTACATATCATCTCTTGCCTTCTAGTGGACAATCTATAGGTTGGTTTTCCCTTATCTCATTCCTTGCCTCTTCCCCCGCTGCTCAACTTATTTCAAGTAAAGGTGTGTATAATTCAGTTTTAATCAAATTAATCAATCAAATCAATTTAATTTATTGATTTAATTCGATTAATTGATTGGTTATTGAATTCATTTCAATCGATTAATGAAAATAATTTTTTAAAAATTTTGGTTTCGGTTAATTCAATTTGAAAATCAAATTAACCAAAATTTAATCGAAATATAACATAATTCAATTATAAAATGAAAAATACATGAAATAAATCATTTAATTTCATAACTTGTTAGAGTTTTTAACATAATACTTTGATATTTGAATATTTTATTGGATAATTTTATTTAATTTGTTTAAAATATAAGAAATTAAGAGTTTAAATTATAATTTAACGTAAATATATATTATTTGGTTAATCAAAAAAATTAACCAAACCGACCGAATTAAATTTGGTCAGTTAATTTTTGAAATTTATAAATTCAATTTGGTTTACGAAAATAAAATAATATAATTCAGTTAATTCAATTTTGGATAATTCAGTTCGAAATTAACTGAACCAACCGAATAAGCACTCTTAATATCAAGTGTTTCCTATTTGGTAGTTCACTAATAGTCAGGTGTTTACCAACAAATTAAATTAAATAAATAAAAATAACATAATAAAATCACAATAGTCACAAACACTTCCTCTACCTATTACTACTATTTCTAATCATAATAATTTTTTTAATAAAAAAAATCAATTTGAAAGCTTATCAACTTTTGAATCAATTACTATATTATTGGAGTTGGTATTTAATATTATGAGTTTGAAGAAGCTTATATAAGTGATATCTTTTTCAATTTAAAAAATTGTTAAAAAAAAAAACTAAGGATAGATTAGAACTTAAAAAAATAAATTTGGGAGTTCAATTTCTTAACTCCACTCAAATGGTAAAATTGAGATAAAAGTTAAATAAATACTTTAGATTGAAACCATATACCCTATGAAAAGCTCATACCACTATTGCTCCTTTTGAGGAATTTTATATTTAAGATTTTAATCTAACCTTCATTTTTATGTCTCATATGTCAAAAGAAAAAAATCAATCTTGTACCACTACCCTTTGATCTTAAGTGAATACTAAATAAACAATATACTTTATTAAGAACAATCAACTATTTAAATAATCCTAAATATTAAATAATTTACATGTTAAATAAATAAATAATTTAACATATTAAATAAATAAATAATAATTTAAATATAATAGTCTATCACTTATTATTCACATTACATAAACTAATAATATAATTAAATACAATATAATAAAACACCATTAAATAATCTTATATTTCTTAAATTGAATATAAAAGTTTTATATTTTTCTCGACAAAGTCGAACGTAAAAATTTTAGCATTATTCGAAATTTATCAAACAAAACTATTCAAGAGAAGAATCAAATCAAATTGAATTTAAAAAAATTATTTGATTGAGTTCAAGTCAACTTTTATTAGAATTTTATTAAAAGATAAAATGTAAAATATAATATTTTAAAAATAAATAGAAATACTGTAATATGTATGTTTTAAATTAAAATTAATTTATTTTATATGGATGAATAAAAATATGATTTTATTAGATTTGACAATTTTAAACATATACGGTGACATGATATCAAAATGGCACAAGAAAAATCATATAGGTTTTGGAAAAATAAGTTTTTTTTTTAATCACGTCAACATAAATTTTGACACGTATAAGACAGAGAAAATATGTTTAATTAAACGTGTCATACAAGTACATAAATAAAACATATAAAACATATTGGTCACATTTGACACGTTTAACACATTTAATAGTTTATAAATTTATTTTAATTTAATATAAATATATAAAACTATTTTAATTTAATAGTTTTTTATTTTACAAAGTATTGATTTTGATACGAAATTTATAATAAAATATTTAAAAGAAAATGGTATAGTTAGTTTTATTCAATTATTGTAATTATTCTTTTAAATAATTAATTTATTATTGATTTATTTTATTATTTTATCACAATAAAAACAAAAACAAAGAACTTTTACTTTAATAGAATTCTAAGCTATCCCACCCTTAGTCCATATACTTAATAGGCCCACCCAAAATGTTTTTAGCTCCATCTACCTCAAAATACAGCACCTAAGCATATGATGAACAGCAACTGAACTAAAGTTCAAAAGCTAACTACATCTTAACGATATTATAATGTGTCAGAATAGTAGCATCACATATTATTCACATATTTTAAATATAATCGTTTATCACATATTATTCACAGTACATAAACTAATATAATAAAACATCATTAAATAATCTTATATTTCTTTAATTGAATATAAAAATTTTATATTTTTCTCGACAAAGTCGAACGTAAAAAAATTAACATTATTCATAATTTATCGAATAAAATTATTCGAGAGAAGAATCATATCAGATTAAATTTTAAAAAATTATTTGATTGAGTTCAAGCCAACTTTTATTAGAATTTTATTAAAAGATAAAATGTAAAAAATGATATTTTAAAAATAAATAGAAATACTATAGTATGTATGTTTTAAATTAAAATTAATTTATTTTACATGGATGCAAAAAAAATATGATTTTATTAGATTTGATAATTTTAAATATATACAGTGACATGATATCAAAACAACATGGGAAAACTCATATAGGTTTTAGAAAAATATGTTCCATGTTTGATGACGTTGACATAAATTTTGACACGTATAAAACAAAGAAAGTATATTTAATTAAACGTGTCATATAATTACATAAATAAAACATGTGAAACATACTAGTCACATTTGACATGTTTAACACATTTAATAGTTTTTATATTTATTTTAATTTAATATAAATATATAAATATATTTTAGTTTTATTAGTTTTTTATTTTAAAAATTAATGATTTTGATATGAAATTTATAATAAAATATTTAAAAGTAAATGGTATAATTAGTTTTATTGAATTATTGTAATTATTCTTTTAAACAATTAATTTATTATTGATTTATTCAATTATTTTATCAAAGTAAAAACAAAAATAAAGAACTTTATTTGTAATATACTCTAATAAAGATCAAATTTAATTTTATTATATTATTATAATAGAAATAATTTGTAATAGTAACGTAAAATATTTAATAGATAAATAGTTTTCGTTATATTTATTAAATTAATGTTTTTAAAATAAAATTATACTTAATTTAAACTCCAATTATTTCAAAATAATTCCTAGGTCAATTCATATTTAAATTAATTTAGATTTAGATGAATCCCAACTTAAATCAAATTTGGATCAATTTAAATTTTGGTGAGTTACGTTTGTTTTGGGTTTTAGATTAGATGGCTTCATATCGTTAACTTTTTAAGATCAAATATGATTGGGTCAAACTCTACTTGGGGTGTGAACGGATTTTTGGGTTGAAGTCAAAATAGTCAGGTTTGGTTGGATGGTAGATGATTTTGACCAGAAGACTAAAACAAGAAAACTGGGAAAGGCGGGTAATTTTGCTCTATCAAAAGAATAAGGTGGCAAATGCCAATGCCTTGCCACCCTCTTTCTATTTCTATATCCTCAGCCTTAAAAATGGCAAAATCTTAGAAACCAATGTTGGTAACAATGGTATGCCCCCTATCTTTCTTTTTTTTCTACAATCCCCAATTACCCATTGTTCTATTTTATCCCTCTTTCTTTATTTCAGCCTTTTCGGTATTAGCTTCCTTTTTTTCTTCTCCTCTATTTATAATGTCATTTTATATTTCCTTGTGTTAAGCTAGTATTGCTATTCTCTCTGTCTTTCTCTATATACTCACATATAAATATGCATGTATGTAAATATATGTATATATTCTTTGTTTTGTGGTTTTATTTCATCCTTTTTGTTTCTGTATTTTAACATCAAGATTTGAATTTGATCATGTATGGTTTTTCTCTTTTCTTTTTTAAATTATATGTTTCATTGGAATTTGTTGATGTCAATGATTTTGTTTTTTTGTTGTGTTTAAAATTTTGTTTAGAATCTTGGGAATCTTTATATTTTGGGAGTGAGAGTTTAGGGATCAAAATAAGTTCAAAGTTCAACTTTTTTCCCTTTTAGGAAGAAGGGAAATGAAAAGAGAAAAATATGATTTCTTTTGCCTTTGATTGGAAAGATAGAATATTTCTATGAGCGTTTCTTAGATCCTTGGTCTTAGAGTTTAAAATCCATGTAAAATGTTTCTGATTTCTATGCTTTGGTAATGCCAAGTGTAGTTTGCTTTCCTTTTCCTAATTTAATGGTAGACTACTCCATGCCATCCTTGATGTTTTATTTGCATGCACGTATGTTTGTTCCCTACTGGTAGGGACATAATATGTGGACCATAAGCTATAAGTTTATGAACTAGTAGCTATAATGAGTTCTACACTTGAACATCAAGGGTCGGTCTTTGAAGGAAATACATTGTTATAGTTTCGTTTCCTTATATACCATCTAATATTCATATAGATATTGTAGCTTTGTTCAAACCCAAATGCTATTCTTATTGATAGATGCCATAGGAAAGAATTGAGCAGTCCTGCCAGGATGGGTGTCAGCTTCAAATATTGGGATAACTGTGTTGATCTTGAGGACATGGAAGCAATGTGGAAACGACCTGAAATGAGAACATAGTGGATAGATGCTGGGGAGACTGAAGGACAAAGAGTTCACCTATCAAGGGATCCTGATGGACAGCCTTATTTGACACAAATAGAGATGAGGGTAGGCAATTTGAACAATATATCATTTAGTTTTTGAGGCAATAGTAAGCTATTATTAGAGAATTGAGAAGTTTAATCTCAATAAGTAGTTTTTTTTTTCATAAAGTTTGAACGATTAAGGAGTTAAAAGTTTTATTATTACATTTAATCTTGATATATTTAATCTTAAAAAGTAGTTTTCTTACAGTTTGAATGGTTAAGATGTTTTTATGGGAAAACACTTATTTACAGCTAGTTGTAATCTTATAATCTATATATTTATATTTGTATCCCTAGAATTAAGTATTTGTATCCCTAGAATTAAGGACAAAAAATTAGGATAGACAATCTCTCAATTATAGGATTAATTTTTTAGGAATATTTAGTTTCCTAGTTTAACCCTTAGTTAGTTGTATATAAACCTAAGGTTCTTGTATAATTCTTAATGAGCAGTTTTTCAATATACATTCAGTTTTCACACTGATTTATTTCTTAGTTTTTTCACATGGTATTAGAGCTTTAGGCTTTTCTTAGGAAGCAAAATTTTCAGCCTTCATTGCTGACTTTTTTAGGCCTTCATTACCGATCCCTTTCAAAAAAAGATATCATTACCATCCAATTTGAGGAAATGTTAACTGAGAAAATTACTGGAGTATTACAGATGTCTCAGAAACAATGATAGTTCAATAGGGAAAAGATTGAAAAGCTGAGAAACTTATTGAAAATCCTTGAAAAATCTATTGTGGTATGTTTTTTAGGTAAGGTTTCTAGTTCAGGTAAAGCTTCCGGTTCTCATGGATTAAATGTCTCGGCTAAGCCTATTACGAGTTCTTGGGTCATTGACTCAGGAGCCACAGACCACATGACACATTCCTCACAAAAGTTTAGTACATATAACCTGTGTCCTAGTAATAAGAAAATTATTGTTGCAGATGGTTCACTTACCACAGTGGCAGGATTAGGAGATGTTCAAGTTAATCCCTTGTTTGTTCTCAAAAATGTTCTTCATGTTCTTGGATTGTCTACTAATCTGATATCTATACAAAAACGTACAAGAGATATGAATTGCAAAGTAACTTTTTATCCCTCTTATTGTGAATTTCAGGACCAAAGTTCGGAAAAGATTATTAGACTTGCTAAAGAAAAGGATGGACTATACTATCTTGAGACATCAAATAACATAAGTAGTATCAAGAATAGTTTACCTTTGTCATTTCTTTCTAAAAGATCTTTCAATAAAGACAAAATCTGGTTTTATGATTTTCATCTTGGACATCCTTCTTTTGGAACCTTGAGAAACATGTTTCCTTTTTTGTTCAAAGGATTAAATGTTGTAGATTTTTATTGTGATGTTTGCGAACTTGCAAAGCATAGACGTGTGTATTTTCCAATCAGTAACAAAAAAAGTTCTACTCCCTTTTTACTTGATTCATAGTGACATTTGGGGTCCCTCTACAATTTTTAATATTTTTGGTAATAGATAATTTATTTTATTCATAGATGATTGTACCAAAGTCTCTTGGGCTTTTTTACTTAAATCCAAATCAAATGTGAATAGTATGTTTTTAAGCTTCCAAAACATGATCCAAAATTAATTTGGAGTGAGAATCAAGAGATTTAGGTCTGATAATGCAAGAGACTACCTCAACCAGAGTCTATCTACTTATTTTCAAAAAGAGAGGATTATCCATGAGTCATCTTGTGTTAATACTCCACAGCAGAATGGAGTGACAGAGAGAAAAAATAATCATTTACTAGCCACAACCTGAGCATTTCTTTTTCAAGCAAATGTACCTAAATTTTACTGGGGGGAAGCTGTTCTCACTGTCATAGATATTATAAACAGGTTACCGTCAAGGGTTTTGGGATTTAAAATTTTTATGAAACTACTCTCACAATTTTATCCCAACTTCAATACCACAAACAATCTCACACCTAGGATATTTGATTATACATCATTTATTCATGTTCACAGTCATAACAGGGGAAAGTTGGATCCAAGAGCAATTAAGTGTATTTTTGTGGGGTATTCTTCAACTCAAAAAGGATATAAGTGCTATCATCCTCTTATCAAAAAATTTTATATGTCTGCAAATGTCATTTTTGAAGAAAGTAAATCATGTTTTACTCAACTTTATCTTCAGGGGGAGACTTCATTCATGGAAGATAAGGATAAAGATTTTTTTTTGCTTGATTTGTCCCCTTCTTCAACATTTACACCTATTAATTCTTCTGAGTCGAAACTTGTGTCTGCTGAGCCCAAGTTAAACACTGAATTTGAGTCTGAACCCATTCCAAATATAAAAGATGTGACAAAGGATAATATTGTTTTTGATTCTATGAAGAAATTACAAGTGTACTCAAGAAAGAAAGTTTCAGATCCTGAACCAGTACCAGTCCAAGAACCTGATCCTAACTCTAGAAATGAGATAACTACAGTTTTTGACTCTGTTTCTCAAAATGAGTATGAATCTTCTAAAACTATAACTAATGATTATGATCTACCTATTGCCATGAGAAAAGAAACCAGAGAATGTACTAAACATCCACTATACCCAATCTCTACTTTTATGTCATTTGAAAAATTCTCACCATCTCACAAAAATTTTCTTATGAGCTTAAACATTATTTCTGTTCCAACTACATTATCTAAGACATTATCCAGTGAGAAATGAAGGCCTTAGAGAAAAATCAGACATGAAAACTGGTAGAGTTGCCTAAAGGAAAAAATTCAATAGGGTGTGAATGGGTTTTCACTGTAAAATACAAAGCAGATGGTACTGTTGAAAGGTATAAAGCTAGGTTAGTGGCTAAGGGCTACACTCAAACCTATGGAGTGGATTATCAGCAAACTTTCGCTCCAGTTGCCAAGATGAATACAGTTAGGATTTTGTTATCATTGGCTACAAATTACAATTGGCAGCTTCAACAATTTGATGTAAAGAATGCTTTTCTACATGGTGATTTGGAAGAAAAAATATATATAAAGGTTTCACCGGGATTTGGAGGTCATCTAGAAGCAAACAAAGTATGCAGGCTAAAAAAAGCTTTATATGCCCTTAAACAGTCTCCTAGGGCTTGGTTCAGGAGATTTGCCAAAGTGATGCTAGCAATGGGACATAAATAGAGTCAAAAAGATCACACATTATTTATCAAGCACTCTTATTCAGAGAGAGTCATAATTCTATTAGTGTATGTTGATGATATAATTGTAACTGGAGATGATGAAAAAGAGAAAGAATCTCTAAAATAGTGTTTGGCTAAAGAATTTGAGATTAAAGAGCTAAAGAGATTGAAGTACTTCCTAGGAATTGAAGTAGCTCACTCACGGCATGGTATCTTCATCTCACAATAGAAATATGTGATAGATCTTCTGAAGGAAACTAGAAAACTCGAATGTAAACTTGCAAATACCCCTATAGATCCTAATCATAAAATTAGAGAAGCTAATGAAGATGCTATTGTAAATAGAGAGATGTACCAAAGATTAGTTGGAAGACTCATTTATCTCTCACATACTAGACCCGATATAGCATATGTTGTGAGTGTAGTAAGTCAATTTATGCATAGTCTTAAAGAAGTACACCTACAGGCTGTCTACCGTATATTGCACTATTTGAAGGTCATTCCTAGGAGAGGTATCTTATTCAAAAAAAATTCGAGGTTAGTTCTAGAAGCATATACAGATGCTAATTATGCAAGTTCAATAACTGATAGAAGATCCACCTCAGGCTGCTGCACTTTCTTAGGTGGTAATCTTATGACTTGGAGGAGTAAAAAACAAAATATGGTGGCAAGATCAAGTGCTAAAGCAGAGTTCAGACCAATGGCTCAAGGAATTTGTGAACTACTTTGGTTAAAGATTATCCTAGAAGACTTGAAGATCAAGTGGGATGGACCAATGAGACTCTACTGTGATAAAAGTCTGCAATAAGCATTGCACACAATCTTGTGCAACATGACAGAACAAAACACATTGAAGTAGATCGATATTTCATAAAGGAGAAACTAGACAGTGGGTTGATTTGTACACCTTATGTATCAACCAAGGGTCAACTTACAGATGTATTGACTAAATGTCTCAACAGTGCAACATTTCAAGAAATTATTTCCAAGTTGGGAATGGAAAACACCTATTCACCAGCTTGAGGGGGAGTGTGGGAAAACACTTATTTACAGCTAGTTGTAATCTTGTAATCTATATATTTGTATTTGTATCCCTAGAATTAAGTATTTGTATCCCTAGAATTAAGGACAAAAAATTAGGATAAACAATCTCTCAATTATAGGATTAATTTTTTAGGAATATTTAGTTTCCTAGTTAGTTGTATATAAACCTAAGGTTCTTGTATAATTCTTAATGAGCAGTTTTTCAATATACATTCAGTTTTCACATTGATTTATATTTTAGTTTTTCCACAGTTTTAAAATTTTTTTATAACACTTATCTCTTCATAAGTAATTTTGTTTTGGTAATTTAGTATTAGTCTCATTTGATCTTATTCATTATTCAAAAACATAAGGATGATCCAATATTCCACTTTGCTTAGTCCTATGCCAAGATAATAATAATAAACTAAAGTCAGTCAGATTTTGCCATAGGGCTTTTGCTTCTAGTTTTTTTTTTTGGCCAATGGCTTTTACTTCTAATTTACCTTGTCTCATGGGGTGCTTTTTCAGGCTGTGGCTGAAATCATTACTCGCAGATATTTTGATTCACAGATAGAGCCAGTATGTCACCTATTACCCAAACACGTAGCCTGTTCCACTGTTTTTCCTTTTAGATCATGTAGAAGTTTCTTATATGATTTTCTCTTACATTTGTGCAAAATTACTCTGGTATGGCAGTATAATTACTGACAAACTATTTATCCAAAAAAATTACTAACAGAAACTCTTCTTAACTAATATGCATATAATAACAAGTATTTCTTGCCAGATCCTAATTTCTGATGGCGAGGTTATGTTTAATATTTTAGGTGTCTAAAATTATTGTTTTGATTTTGGTTTCACTTTCACTCTCACCTCTCACCTTATATATTAAATGAACTATTCTTTTTACAAACCAAAAGAGGGGAAAAGAAAAATAAACAGCACAGATTTGCAAGGGCGTGTCCTAAGGTTTGATAAATTTGAAGCAATAGACAAAGTTCTTCCTGGTGTAATAAAAGCTTAAGTGCAAATTAATTTTGTGTAGCATTTACCAGATTGGTTTAAATCATTCCCTGTTCAGCCTGTGATTATTCTTCACTAGGTTATCATTGGAGCAAATTTCTTAAAAAAAACAAGAACCTTATAATTGTAGAATGGTATAACTTTTTTATTTTAGGTATTCTTCATGGCTAGGCTGTTTTAAGACACCTTAGCAGCTGATGTTTGAGAATTATCTAGCTGACTGGAGATGGGAGATAATAAATAGTCTTTTGGTTGCTTGCAAACCTGCTATGCAGTCAATGTCTACTATTGATCAAACGGTAACTCAATAATCCTTCCATTCCTAGAATGGATGAAAAGGGGAGAGTTTGGACAGGGGGACAGTAATCTCTCAAAGTATTTACTAGTATAAGGGAACTTAATCTACTTTTCCAAGCCTTAGGCTTGGTGGTAAGAGTGACTACTTGCCTGATAATTCTACTAGTTTTGAATTGATGACCAATTGAAGACTGAGTTTTCAGTTGCTCTTCTAATTTTATAAGATAATGCTACTAGTTTTGCCTGATAATGATACAAGTTCTGAACTCTTTATTGTTTATAGGAAATTTTCCATCTCTCTTTCTCCCCCGCCTCCCTATTTGTTTGAATAACCCTGTATCTTTGCTCTCTCTATGTCGTAGGCTTTGACCAATTCTTATAAGCAAAGAAAGAATTGATTTTTTTAACAATTGGAGTTTAACTTCAATATATTGCAGTCAAGATACAAAATTTTTTACTCAAAGATATATTGTGAAACTCATCTGCACATATACTTCATTCTCAAGTGTGGATGCTACAGCAGCCACACTATATCAAGTTAGGGAAAAATGCTTAAAACATTAAAAATCCAATCCTAGGTAGGTCACAAAAGATTCCCTTAATAAGTAATCTCTCTTTGAAGTGAAGTGAATGAATGGAGTATGTAAGGCAAAAAATATTGACCTCATACGATGCAATGATGACTAGTACTTTCTTAAGAAAATCTTGTATTGACGAAAGTAGAATAAACCATGCACTCAATGAAAATTAAGTCAAGGAAAGGACTAAATTTGCAGTGAATTAGCAATATTTCCTTGTGTTACATTCTTTTCTAGCACTAGCTATGTTATGTGCCCATATCCTTTAATATGTATATACTTTACTTAATTTAAGTTGTTCGCGTAGTCTAACTAATTATGCATATTTAATTAAGTCCACTTCAATCAGCTAGCACATAGTTGGCCTGCATGTGCTCTGTTAAGAACATATACTAGTCATGCTATCCATCTTTGATAATCTGTAGAAAAATTGATGTTATTATTATTTTTAATTTTTAAAGTTTGGCATCCTTTCACTGTTCTGAAGGAAATGATTTGTGGTATTGCTGAACTTGAAAGTGACAGACAGCCTCTTGCCATGCGATGTGATAAGAAAAATAAGCTGACTACAACAGGAATCATGCAGATTGCACCACAAACAGCAGAGTGGATGGTCAGGTAAAATATTATGTTTTATTCTTCTCTTGCAGGTGCATCGTAACTAAGCTAACCCTTGTTTGGATTTATGAAGTTGTAGTTTGAAAATACTTGTAGGGAAAGTGATCATTCATTATGCCCAGTCGAAAAGGACCCGGATATTCTATACAGGCCTTTTGTAAGTGTATATTTCGGAGCAACTTACCTTAAATGGTTATCAAACTTTGATAACAAGTGAGTTACTAGTGAAGAATTTGGATCCATCTCAAATATATTACTTATTTGTTATCAGGTTTTTAAATAATGTTGTATTATGTATCTCATCGGTGCTGAATTTGCAGAGTTAGAACTGAAGAGTTTATTGTCAGGGCTTATAAGGGTGGTACAAAGAAAGCAAGTCATAAATCAACCCTGCCATATTGGAAGCATTATCTTTCCATGAAAGAAAGTTTTCCATCCAGGTTTTTATACTCCCTCATGAAAGTTTGGCATTTGAGTATCAAAATTTATGTAAGTACTTGTTGAAAATTTTTCAAGGGAAGTAGGTAGACTGCACAGGTAGTTGACTTAAAATGTTTCATTACAGTATTATTTGTAGATATTGTTTCCTTTTATTAGGTGTTGTCTTTTATTTTTATTCTTTGCAGTTCTTTATGGTTTTTGGCTTTTGCTTTTTCATCTTTTCGGTTTATCTGATTGATATTAAAAATATTGTTTATGAATGAACTTCCAAATGTTTTAACTTGTATGCCATTAAAATTTTAATTTACTCTAAGTTTTGATACTGTAACCAATTTTTGGTAAAAGATCATGTTCTATGGTGAAGCTCACTTGGAATTAGTATATAGTGGTAAGAAAGTGCCAACAGCTTGCACCACCTTACGGTGTTAAAATTTTCTTTCTCTGCATATTATTACAACCTTCTTATTTAGTGGATTTTCCTTGTCATCCAGGAAAATCCTTCCCATTTTTATTCTTATGAAATTTGTACTTAGAAAAAGATGGCTGAGTATCATTGTCTAACAGAACTTTAACTGTTGGTGGCAAGTTCAGATCATATAGATTTTCTTTATCTGCACTGTAGAAGTCTGGTCTTCATGCCCTTTTTTGGACTTGATCAACTATCAATGAGGTTAATTTCTAGACAAGTCTTTTATTGTTAAGCTATTGAACTGAAGTTGTTATCTATGTTCTTGAAATTTGAGTTTCTACTTATTTGCATTCACTTCTTAGCATATGTTGTTTAGCTTCTGAAGAGCATATAAACTTTGTCCAGATTGAAGCTGTGCTACCTTTTGAAGCAGATTTCAACCAGTGAAGAGTGAAAGGCTATGTTAGCAGAACTAATGTATCAGTATTGGAATTGATTTCCCTTTGTCATTACATTGCAGAAAACATTTTGATGGTCCTTCACATACTCAAGCACCAACTTCAACCACTTCTCCAACTTCCCCGGTTTCACCAAGCTCAGGTTGTTCCTCTCTCTAAATACTTGGGGTTATTTGATGCTATGTTTAGTCAGTATATTATCAATCTATCTCATAAACGAAAATTTACTTTCATCAACTTGAGTAACAAAAAAGATTTTAGTGCTATGTATCAAAAGCTTACCAATTTAGTTTACATCTAATTTTGTTGGTCTTGTTAAGAAAGCCAAGCATAACAAAAAAAAAAAAAAAAAATCTACCATTTTTTGAAATAAAAGTAAGACAAATTGAGGCATGGTTTATTCTTTTAGACAAAGAGTATAAAATCTAACACTATGGTTTCTCTTTCACAAATTAACTGTTAGATTTTATACTCATTTTGCATGAAGTAAAAGTTTAATTTAAACAATTCAAGCAGTGAAATAGCAATCATTCAGTAAATTTTCAAATTAGCCTGAATAACATGTATGGATAATTTGCTAAATCCAACATTTGATTCGTTGAATATGGAGCACATAAAATCTGGGGGAATTGATCTCTGCCCTTTTGAAAGATATTCTTCTACTTATTTGTCGTGCATCTCTATATTGCTACCTTAGATGATATGCATTTTTTTTTTTTTATGGTGGAGCTGCAGGTGTTGACCTATATTGGAAGTCCAGAGTTTCCTCTGAAGACATGGAACAGATGTGGAATCATCCTGATGTCTCCAAGCAGTGGACTAAATCTAATGAAAGTAGTGGCAAAGTGCGCTTTTCCCTTGATAGTGAGAAAAAACCATATCTTTCTCGAGTAGAACTAAAGGTATGTATCCTGAATCAATTAATATGCTGTCAATTTTAGTAGTTTCCATCATAGTTTCAGAATAAATATTCTTTTTTTTTTTTTTTTTGACATTTTATCAAGAGTGAAGATAAATTTTTATTACCTTTCCAGTGTTAGAAGTTCTGTATAAGTTTTTATTTTCTTGTGCCAAAGTGCAAATGTTACAGGATCCAAGGTTCAAGTACACTATAAGTTAAACAGGATAAGAATTGGGGAACTGAAACTGGGTTATACTGCTAATTAGTTTCAAGGCTGGGTTTAGATGATGTTTGATTGCTAGAAATAGAGACCTTACGTACTGAAAATTTTTGGCTGCAAAGTATGAAGGACGTTTTAAGGCTGTAGGGATATATGTGAAACCATGGTAAAGTCTATCCGAACTAAGGATTGTAGGATTTTTCTATTGCTAATTGTTTGTAAAATATTTGTTAGCCGAAAATGTTACAAATTAATGGAAGAAGTAGAAAGAGAAAGGGTAACAACCTGGGTTGTTTAAGCAAGCTGTCACACAGAAAAGAGTGAAGTCACACCCTCACGAAGAGCCTTACACTCTTGATTCTGGAAAAGTTTCCCATCATGCCGGTGGTATACTAAAAGTACATGATGATATAGACTTAATTTGAACAGCTATGAATAGAAAAAGGACAAAAAGAATCCACATGCAACTATGTTATTCCATTAAAGTAGTTTTATAATTATTCATTAACAGGTCTATATGCATGTAATAAAATATTGCTTTCTTTAATATTGCCAGGGGTGTTCTTTCATTTTGCATTACATCTTTATCAAAAGTGTTGTTTTTTGAATCATTGACATTTGACATGGATCTTCTGTTGCAGGCAATGGCAGAAATAATTGTTTCCAAGTACTTCAGCACAAGGGGAGTAAAACAAGTGAGTATAGAGTTGGATAAAGAAGGTTTGCAGAAAAGGAAATTGAAATGTTACCTCATTCCTAAATGCAATGTTGAAAATTTGCAAGTATTTCGACTTGAAATGGATCCAGTGGATTAATGTTTGAAGTTTGCTCCTATCTCTTTTTCTTTTATTCTTTTAGAGAAAATACTCTCTTTATTTTTCAGTTCCTTTATTTATTACAAAGCTACCCATTTTTTAAATTTCCTTCCCTTTCTTTAGTATTTTCACAGCTGTTCTTTCTTGGTGATTATTTCATACAACATGATTTTTCTCTGTGATTCTTGATGGTCCTGATTAAACCTATATGGATCATGAGGGTTTCTAGATTTAGTATATTGTTCCCAGTATGACGAAGGAAATGTTACAAAATGTGAAGCTGTTTAATTATCTTTTCTTTTCTTTTTTTGATGTGCTTGGCATGCTGAAGTTTCATATTTTAACAAAATTATATGTTAGACTTGTGACAATTGTTTCTAAGCTTTGGACTAATAGTTGGGAGCTGAGGTCACTGATTTGCCTTGAATTGTAGTCCCTTGGCAGAGACATGTGCTAAAGAGTGATTGAATAAAATGTATTACGCATGAAAACATGCAGGTGGTACAATTGAAATAATGCTTATGTAGCAAGACGTGCACTTGAAATGGGGACAAATTCAGAAGATTGTCGAATATTCTACCATTTCAAGTATCAATAGATTAAAAGAAATAACAAAGATGTTTGGACATGCACAACATAGACCTTCGCATGCACTAGTATGCAACTGTTAATGGGTAGGCTTTTTCGACAATATTGGTAGAGTCTAGACCAGGTTGAACGGTGGAGTTGGTTTCATGTTGTCGACTCCTAATTAACCATTTTGGGGTTGATGTTTACTTGAATTGAGTTTTCCTAAATATGAATATAGCTACTGAACTTTTATGTTTTATGCACTTATTTTATGCTAAATCTCTCTCTTTATTTGTTTTGTCTAACTTTTATCTTGACACTTACATTTTGAACAGTCAGTACTTTGTGCTCTAGCCGAGTTTGTTAGCATGCGCTTTGTAGATGGGAGTGAAGCACGAGGTGGAATAATGGGAATTGACTACTCTACAGCTTTCTGGCTTTACACGTGAGTGAAAATATGACTGAAACTGAATTTCTTTGCTATGAAGAAATGTGTGGAAAAGAACTTAAATTCAATCTGCCCCCTCTATTCTACCTTTTTGTAGCGCCCACGAGAAATTTTAATTAAATTGGCTCCTTGTATGGCCTTGAGTTCAAATGATAGTTGTTTCATGCAACTTAGAAGCATTTTGGATTTGTACTAAAAATGGCACTACATTTACTATCTAAAAAAACGTAATTTACGCACAATTATTAGCTTTTCCCTTTTCTTTAGCACAGTCTAAATGTTGTTCACTTGTCCCCCATCAGTTTTATAGCAATGATTAAATATGTCTGAAATTTGTAATTTTTATATGAAGAGAGGTGGGCTATAGGGCTTATCGAGTTGATTATGTAGAAGATCTGACAAACCCATTTGTGTCCATGTATTTTGGTGCGGCATATTTAGCTTGGTTATCAGAGTATGAAGGGAGGTATGGTAATTCCCTACAATAACATTTAATGTAGCTGTGCCTATGATTTATTACAAAGTATGTGGCTTCTTTGACTATGAAAACAGGGAAAGGAATCCAAAAAATGTAAATCTTCAAGAGACATGTCCAATGTGGCTTAAATTTGAGCAAATTTTGAGCAGTTATGAAATCTGTAAAAGTTATGTACCAGATCTTGTATGCATTAACAAAATGGAGTTGTATGTTCCCTCCAGTGACTTGTCATAAAGTGATCTCACTTCTTCAGGAATGAAGGGAGCTGCACCATCATGTAACCTGACAGATATCATCATCCAACTTTTATATGGTTCTCCCGTTGAAGTTGCGTTTTGATTTATAAGATTGGTAAATACACCTAATATATGCTTAATTGCTGTTATAAAAAGGATGGATTATTGACATCTGTGAGCAACCATTTTTTTTTTTTTTTTTTTAATGTTAATACTACTATGAGAGTCAACGAAAAAAAATTTAAGTAATTTTTTACCAGACTGTGTGTATAATGAAATAGAATGTCTAGTCTTATGTTATGAACATAACAAAAAAGAAAACACAGAATGATGATATCATCAAAATAAATGCAGGAGCTGATATAGGAACAGACAACTAATTTCAATCCACAGTGCTATTCCTCGGAATCTGTAAAAAATTTGCAATAAAAAATAGTGAGCTTAACGGTTTAAATCAAGCATTGTAAAACAATACTTTCAAATTACAATTTTCAAATCACAATAGTTATCAATAAATAACGATTTTACAAACGAACCATGATTTAGATTCACAATAAACCTTTCATAATAAACATCAATTTTTCGTTCTCTTTCTGCTGTATCACAATTCACAATACAACAATTGTGAAATGTTTACAATCCACAATAACAACGTAATTAACACAACGTTCACAATCCATAATAATAATAATAATATGTTAACAGTATAGTCGCATAGATCTCAACTCTAACTATCAGTTTAAAGCACAAATCCATTAAATAACCTTTCAGTCACGTAAAACATTTTAAATATACCAAGTTTATTTTCACAATACACAGTATTCCAAATTCAAAACATTTACAATTTCACTTAAAGCTTGACCAAATTTTAGAAAACAATTGCAATTTTCACCATTCTTTAAAACGATCAATTTCACATCATCTAAAATCATTGATAAAACAGTAGTAAGTAGCAAAACTTTTATAGAACACCAATTTGAAGAAACCAGAAGGTCTGGCCACTTACTTGATTTTCTTAATGTATGTGACACTCAATGATCCCCCGATACCTTCTCCACCAAGATCTAAAGCCTAATATTTATAATCAATCACGTACCAATATTAACCATGGTCATAATATCTTCCAATAATACCATTTAGAACTATGACAGTTTTGCGCACTTCTCACTAAAGTGGGTGTTTCTTGGGTTACAAATCTTGAAATTATGATTGGTCTAACGCTTTTCAAACTAGACCTAATAGCATTTCTATCAATGTAAAAAGCCAACCCGTAACTACTCCTAGAAAAGGTGCAGTAATTTTTCTAAGTTAACACTGTGCAACTGTCTGACAGCATGCTCTCCCTTCACTAAAAATGGGTTATCTTCCTCTAGAGAGCTTAGAATCCCATTCCCTTTGATTATTCAAAAACTACACTTGAGAGGCTTTTCAACCATTCATGGCTCAACTCCTATTTTCTTCTACGTTGATTATAGCAATTTTTTCAATACACCATCATTGTAGTTACCAGATAGATTTGATGATTCGTGTATTCATATCGTGTAAAATATTAAAATTTATATATTTATATAATTTTTATATGAAAATTATATGTTACAATTCGTATCAATAAAAAAATAAAAATATATATTTTTTATTTTATTAAATCCATATATAATTATTATTAAAATTTTAAACTGTTTCACATTCGTATTTTTTTTTCGTATCATGTTCGTGCTATTATTTAAATTATCATGTCTACTTCTAAGCTACCAAACTATTTTTACTAAAAATGCATTATCTTCACTTTGAAAACTCAGTTTTTAATTCCAATTAACGTGTAAGAAACTAGACTGCATAATCTTTACAAACATGTATGCATTCAACTTGTTTATTGGCAGCCTTTACATATATACATACATGCATACATAATCTATCTAAATTTTTTATACCAACCTTTATGTTTTCAAATTTGGTAAGTTGATTTCATAATCAATTAATAGAATTCTAAGGCAGTTTTAATGTTTTCCAAGACGATTCTTAAATGTCCATGGTCTACCAAAGACTCGCAAATATACCTCCCACACATTTTCAAGTCAATCATATACTTTTCTAATATTCTAATTTTGTTACCTTGGATATTCAAAGTACCATTAGATTTTAAATATCTAAAACTTATTGGGACTTAGTGAAATTACAGCTCATATACTGTAAATTTTAAAACATTAATCTTTAAAAAAAAATTAATTTCACATACAATAATTGTTGATGATATTTTCTGATGTCTTAGCTAAGAGTAAAGGGATGAAGTTGAAAAGAAAAGATAGTTGTAATTGGTAACCAGAAAGCATAGACAAAGAGCATCGGAGTTATCACTCTGAAGTGCATTTCGATTCTTAAGTCAGTGTGGTGCCTGAGGTAGGTTTAGGGAGTAAGGTTAAGAAGATGAAAAAATGGTGAAGTATGTAGGAGAGGTTATCTTAGAGAGGGAGATATAGGTCCTCCCTTGTTAAGGTCAAAAAGATGGAAAATGGTGAAGTGTTTGGGAGAAGTTATCTTAAAAAGAGAATCTAAAGAGAGAAAGATGTAGGTCATCTCATGTTATGGTGTACGTGATTCTCTTTTACCTTTTTGTGTGGGACAAAAAATGATAATCTGACTAAGATAACTAACAGTTGAGAGGATATTTGTGTGGAGCTCAAGGAGGGTTCACATGAATGGATGAAAATTGAATTCAATGATCCCAGGTAGGCGTGGGCTCCATTTAATGATCTTGAGGTGACATTTAATGATCAAGGGTAAGTTGGTAGCTTATTGGCCAATTCCGAAGTGACTGCCTTGATAAGCCATAGGTGGGACCTTGAGTGAGCCCTTCTTTTGGTGGGTGGCAGGCTATCTCCTTAGAGCAAGTGATGTGATTATTTAGGTGTGCCTTGATTAGGCGATTCAGAGGTCTTGATGCGTTGACCGATTGACTTAGGTATAACAAATGGAAATCTTTAACATTAAAAAATGACTATACCTTCAAGTTTATGAATGCATTTGAGGATTTAGGAGGCACAATTAGGGGTGTAAATGATACATTAGTACTTACAAGTTACTTGGGTTCGATTTAAATAAAATTCAAATTCGATTAGATTATTATCGAGTCGAGCTCAAGCTCAAGTAGCTCGACTTATCGATTGAGCCGAATTTGAGTATTCTTATACCCGGCTCAAGTAGCTGGCGACCCTAATCGAGCTTTTTATATTTAAATATATTTTTATTATTTTAATTTATAAAATATATCGAATTTGAGTTCGAACTCGAACATAAATAATCGAACTCTTGTCGAGTATACAAATTGAACTTATTTTTATAAATTAATAGCGCTTAATTGAACGAGCTCAAGTAGCTCGATTTCGATTACGAATCGAGCTCGAGCTAGGAAAATAAAACTCGATCGAGTTCGAGCTGCGAGTTAGGAGTCGAGTTCAAGCTCGAGCTCGAGCTGTATCGACTCGACTCGGCTCGATTACACCCCTAGGCACAACCATCACAAAGACAAGCAACTTTCAGAACAATGGTTATTAAACCCTTTTCCTTCTTTTCCCTATCCCTTGCTTACTTGTTTCCATTTTTTTCCTATATTTTTTATGTCTTAGCCAAGAAGAAAGAGATGAGATTGAAGGGAAAGACGACTATAACTTGCAATTAGAAAGTATGATCAAAAGACGCTGGGTTGCTGTTTCGGGGTGCCTTCTAATGCTTAAGTGTGCTGTTTGAGGTAAGTTTAGGAAGTAAGGTCAAGAAAATGGAAAAATGGTGAAGTGTGTAGGAAAAGCTATCTTAAAGAGAGAATTTAGAGAAAGAGGTATAGGTCCTCTTTTGTTATGGTGTACCTGTTCTTCTTGTGTGAAACAAAGGGCAATGATCTAACTAAGACAATTGATAATTAAAAAGATGTCTATGTGGAGCTCAAAGAGAGTCCACATGAATGGATAGAAAAATTGCATTTAATAATTTTAGATATGAACTACATTTAATGATTTCAAATAGGCATGAACTGTATTTAATAATTCAAAGCAAGTTGGTGAATTATTGGTCAATTTTGAAGTGATTGCATTGGTAAGCTATTGGTGGGAGGTCGGACGAACTCTTATTTTAGCAGGTGATAAGCTGTCTCCTTAGATGAGGTGACGTGGCTGTTTGAATGCACCTTGATTAAGTGATCTATGGACCTTGATGCATTGATCAATTGATTTAGATATAACACGGGGTACCAGATCGAATGGACATGCCTAATTTGGATACCCTGATTATGTTTCAACTATTTGATGTTCTCAATGTTTTCATTAAAAATAAAATGAAACAATGATAGCCGTGGACGGTGATTTAGCTGAGGTGGAACCGTGGAAGTCAATCCTATCGATGACCGGCCTTTCAAGTTAAAATACAAAAATGAATGGGAGAGGCTGAATTTAAGTGGACACGCTGTCGTTTATTTCTTCTCTCCGCTTCTCTGCTGCTGCCCCGTCTCTCCGTGAGCCTCTCTCTTTTTCTTTTTCGTTTCTCCCTTCTGTCTCGTACTTTACTTTGTTTTGCAAACTGCAAATCAGATCTACTCTACACCCATCAAATCAATTTCATTAATCATTGAAAGTTTACACTTGATTTGTTACCTTTCTCTTCTCTAATAAACTATTTATTTGTTCAATTGTTCCATTTTTACAAGGTTGGACAAACAAGGCTAGCAATTGCAGTAAGCATCTTTACCCACTAATGAATGATGCTTTTGTTTGTTATTTGTTGAAATGCCAATTTTTCTCGAACCCAAATGGATTTTCTTTTTCCTTTTGGGGCATTACATTGGTAGAATTAGATTGATGAACTGAGAATAAGGGGGTTTTGAAATAAAAGGGAATTGGATTGATTGATATGAACTAATTTTTGGTTGTTTAAGTAGTTTTATATGTATTCAAGGCAATGGCTTTCAGACCATAGTAATTACTTTGGAACACTCAGGTCATCGGAAGCTTTTCCCAAACTGGCTTCTCGATTCCCTCATATGTTGCATATGTATGTCAATTTAATTGAAGCTTTAATTCTGTCTTATGGCCATTGCAAAGGAAGAATATAGTGATTTCAAACACCAATTGACTTGGTTCATAGAATGGAATCGAAACACATGGTTCTATTAAAAACTTAATGAATTTGGTATGATGGGTAGTCTTTTTTATTTTCTTCTACAAGAATCAACATATATAGTTATATATATTGGTGTGCTATTTAGTTAAATTTTGTGAAATCAATGTAGTTAATATTAGTTTAGGTCTTTGAATGCAAAATTCAGATGTTCCAACCCAACCCAAGTTATATTTTAGTTAAATTTTGAAAATCCTTTAGTTGCCCCTCAATAAAATTTTAATAACTCAAAAATTTTTAAATTATCTTTTAGTTGAGAACATAAAGATTCTTTTGGTCTTTAGGTTTCTTTCTACAATTTCTTTTACATCATGCCACCGTTAGCAGCACCATGTTCATTTTTTCTCTAACTCCTTCCCAAAAGGTACAACTTCTGGCCTACAAGTTCAAATTTTTAAAAAGAAATGACCTAATAGCTCAAATGACTTATTTCTTAAAAAAGGAGTTGAAGAAACCCACTAAAGTAGCAGAGATGCAGCGGAGAATGTCTACACCAGGAAGGCCTTCCTGTACAGACGGTTCAGATTTCTCGTATTGGATGGTTGTTGATTCTTGTACGCTCCTACCTCGAATTATTCTTTTTTTATACTTTTAGTTTTAATCTTAGTGCATCTGTTATGTTATTAATTAAATTCTTTGTCTTCTTCCTCCTAATTTTGAAACAATATGATTGATGTCTTTATTTGTTGGATTATTTACTTTATTTGATGTTAACCTTTAGGATATAAAAAAGTAGCTCGTACAAAGTCTATTCTGCATTCATTTTTCATAGTTCAGGTATGCTACTCCTTTATTCCCTATAAAATCAACTATCTGCTTTTGTTACCTTGGGTTTGACTCAAGTGTTATGGAAACAATAATTTTCTTATCTTTTAGAAGCATCAACCTGCCTACATTTTTATTTACCTTGATAGCATTCTTTATTATAGGCTATCACACTTTTGGTAGGATTGGGTTTGCTAATATTTCATTCAGTGTTGAAGGATTTGGCTTCCCATGGGCTTGAAATTTCAGTTACTGCTTGTGGTCTCATTTCTTTGATAATAGGAGAATTAGGTTACTTGCTAATTCCCATGTTTCTCTATAATTCTATATGAGGTTGGCATTTGTTTAATTTAATGCTAGATCTTTGTTGTTTGTTTAAGGTCGGAAGTGGAGCCAAGTGAATGTGTTGAGACTTTTTATGGCCAATTCATCTATTGTTGTCTCATTCTTGATATATTGCACCTTTCAGAAGTATTCAACATTCAGAGTAAGGAGTTTACTTTCTTTTTGGGTTTAAAAAATATCTTTGTTTTCTTCATATTTTTTAAAAATAAAAAAGTAAATTTTAGAGTACATTTATTTTGTTAGCATTGATTATCACTTTATTCTTTACCTCCAGAAAATTGATTTCACCAAATTAAGAAAAAAAATAGAAAGAAAGAAATGATAATGTGATAGACTATGAAAAATTGCAAAATGAGACAAATCTGTGGTATGGGTAGATAGAAATAACTGAAAGTAAAGAACATGAAGGAAGAAATAAAACAATGGGGTTTTATGAATAAATTAACTTAATGAATGGCATACAAAAGTAGATCTAGTTTTTTTAAATAGCCTTTGGAAGGCACTAAATCCCTCCTCATGCAAGGTCCTAAAATTATCGTGTTGAATTTGTAAAATTATCTCTATAAATATTACTATTAGTAGAAAAAAGAGAAAAAAAGAATCAATTTCAATTCTAATGTGTTTTTTTTTTTTTTCAATTATTATTCTTTTTATAGGACTAGTATTTCATGTATTTATCATTGGCTACACAATTCATCTCGTTGCAAACATGTCTCCCCTTAAGAGAGCTTCATAGCAGTATGCATATAGTCTGATCATAATATGCATATAGGCCGATCGTAAATTCACAAATCAGGAAAGAAAACTTTGCTGCTTTATTCGTTGCCATAAACTTCATAAATCAGGAAAGATAGCCAATTAACTTTTTTTTTTTTTTTGTAGTTTTTGAATTAGATCTTTGGACCTCTTTCTTTCTTGGGTAAGCATGAGATGGAAAGATCTATCGTTGCATGAGAATGTTAATGTTAACCTTGAGAAGAGTCTTTTCTATCGCTTGATCATGTATTCTGCTTCCAACACCCACAAGTACTATAGTTACATATTTTTAACTTTTTCATAGCACTCATAAATGTTAAATCTTTGCCAGGATGATGTGATTCCATTATGAATTAAATAAAAGGTGCTTAATCTATTGAATTAAGAGATAGGGAGTCCATCTATTGGGAGAAAAAGCATGAGTTTAAGTGTTTTTTTTTTCTTGAAATAGAAGATAATGGAATCACAAGCAATTATGTTCTGATCATGTATCTTTTAGTAAATACATAGCAAAATTTCTAAAAGGACACTTTAAACTTAAAACCTTGTTTTACTAAAAAAAGGCTTCCTTTTTTTTTATTAATAATAATAATAATAATAATAATAATAATAATAATAATATTGTTTTCTAATGAAACCTTGGCATGGCGCAAAGAGATTTCAAATCAAATTTCCTTTTCAAAAATGTATTGAGCCTTGATATGGAGTTAAGGTATTGTTTTAAAAAAATTTGAATTTGTTCTATAAAAGGAGTCGAACATTGGCATGGGGTAAGGAAGTTTTAAATAAAATCGAGCCTTTGTATAAAATTATGGTATTGTTTTCAAAAAATCGAATTTATTTTCTAAATTGAGTCTAACCTTAGCATAAGGGCAAGTAGGTTTCAAATTGAACTCATTTTTTAAGATGGGTCAAGCCTTGGGATACAGTCAAGATATTGTTTTTCAAAAAGTAGAATGTAGTTTTCAAAATGAATTGAGCCTCGATATCATGTTAAGTTGTCATTTTCAAAAAGTCCAATTTGTTTTCTGAAATGAATTGAACCTTAACAGTTATCATGAGGGCAAGGAGGTTTCAAATGGAATTCATTTTTTAAAATAGATTGAACCTTTGCATAAAGTCAAGGTATTGTTTTCAAAAAGTCGAGTTTGTTTTTTAAAATGAGTCAAACCTTAGCATGGCTCAAGAGGGTTTTAAATTGAACTCTTTTCTTTTTTTTTTAAATGGATCATGCTTAATGACAAATCACAGGTAATTGCTGCACACTCTAGAGACAACTTGGAATGTGCAAGAATGGTGTAAAGAAATTGAAGTTGAAAAATTCAACTGCTTGCTTGGCAATGAGATGGGAGCCCATTGCGAAACACCTAATTAGTTGCTACATTTGCTGCCAAAAGGAGGAGCTACCAGCTGTGTTGCAAGCTGTCAATGTATGCATCCAATTTGCCTCCACTATATGCAGTGCTGTGCTCTCCAAAATGAGGCACAAAATCAGCTGCTGCCTTGGTAGATAGAACCTGAAAATGACGCACAATGAGTGAAAAATTTTAGGTTGCTTACTCGGCATTTTGGTGAACCTTCATTGGCCATTGGATGATAGTTAGATGAGGAGAAAAATGTCAAATTTTTTGTATTGCATGAAAGGAAGCCAGCTGCCCCAAATTGTGGCTGAGAGTTTTTGAAAGAAGAACCCAACTGGGACGCCGCTGCTTATTGTCAGGAGTTATCATTTTGGTGTACACAATTTGTTTGATTGAGATGCTGACTTGGCCCTTCTTGCCGTGCCATTGGTGCATGAAATGAAGAAAATTCAACTGCAACTAGAAAAGGACAAAGCAAGCTGAAAACGTGACTGGTCCTCTCCAGAAAATAATTTCTGGCTACTGCATGTCATAGTTTTGGGGGGAATTTTAGGGCTAATTTTGCAAAGATGACTTGGAATTTTCCTCTTCCGTTGGATGGCAAGAGTGCACAAAGATCCACACAAAAACTTAGAAAAAGGAGCAAACCATGGATTGACAGTTATTACCAATGCTGCCAGATTTCTTCTTTTGTGTTGCTTTTAATTTTTGAGATTTTGGAAAGGTTTTTGTTGCAAAAATTAGAAGGCACATAAGTCTACAACAAATGAGGAATAAGTTTGACTGGCAATGGCGCATGAAAAGGAGGTAGAATGCATGAAAATGGGCACATGAAAATTTAAACTCATTTAAGACCAATTTTTGGAGCTCTTCAACTCCCAAACCGTAACTTCTTGAAAACTAGTAACAACAGGAAATGCTCATGCACCACATTCCTATTTTCATGCATTCTACCTCCTTTTCATGTTTACTGTCATTCAAACTTATTCCTTTATTCCTCATTTATATGCTTATGTGCCTTTTAATTTTTGCAACAAAAGACTTTCCAAAATCCCAAATATTAAAAGCAACACAGAAGAAGAAGTTTGGCAGCATTACGTAATAACTGGCAGTCTATGGTTTGCTCTTCTTTGTAAGTTCTTATGTGGATCCTTGTGCACTCTTGCCATCCAATGGGAGGGGGAAAATTCCAAGTCATCATTGCAGAATTGGCCCCAAAATTTCCCCAAAAATTGTGACATGTAGTAGCAAGACGTCATTTTCTGGAGAGGACCAGTCACGTTTTCAGCTTACTTTGCCATTTTCTAGTTGTAGTTGAATTTTCTTCATTTCATGCACCAATGGGATGGCAAGAAACGGCCAAGTCAGCACCTCAATCAAGCAAATTGTGTATGCCAAAATGAAAAATCTTGGAGTTCAACTCGTGATAGCAAGCAGCGGTGTCCCAGTTGGGTTTTTCTTTTAAAAACTCTAAGCCACAATTTGGGGTAGTTGGCTTCTTTTCATGCAATGCAAAAAATTTGACATTTTTCTCCTCATCTAACTGTCATCCAATGGAAAATAAAAGTGCACCAAAATGCCAAGTAAGTAGCCTGAAATTTTTCACTCATTGTGCGTCATTTTCAGGTTCTATCTACCAAGGTAGCAGCTAATTTTGTGCCCCATTTTGAAGGGTATTTGACTGCATATAGTGGAGTCATATTGGATGCAGACATTGATAGCTTGCAACACAGCTGGTAGTTTCTCCTTTTGGCAGCAAATGTAGCAGTTGATTAGGTGTTTCATATGCACCAATGGGCTCTCATCTCATTGCCAAGCAAGCAGCTGAATTTTTCAACTCCTTTTTCAATGATACACGGTGAGATTTGGAGTCCCTCTAGAGTAAATAACATTGCTGGTTCTAGATGGTTTGTGACATTTATTGATAATCACACTAGGTTACTTGGGTATTCCTTATGAAGGAAAAATCTAAAGTAGGTCAGCTATTCCAAAACTTCAACAATATGATTTAAACTCAAATCAAAACCAAAATCTAAGTTTTGAGAACCAATAATGGGAGAGAATACTACAATTCAATCCTTAGATCATATCTAATGAAGCATGGTGTAATTCATCAAATCTCATGTGTTGATACTCTGCAGTAGAATGGTGTTGCTGAAAGAAAGAATCGACATTTGTTGGAAGTTGCAAGAGTACCTTAGTATTTTTGGGGTGAGGCTATTTTTACCGCTACATATCTTATAAATAGAATGCCATTTTTAGTCTTGAAATTTCAAACTCTTTGCCAATCTCTTCTCAGTTCCTATCCTGACCTTCGAATCATCTTGTCTATTCCCACTAAAGTGTTTGGATGCCCTACATTTGTTCTTACAGCCAACAAAACTAAAGAAAATTAGATTCCAAATCCATCAAATGAATATTTCTCGAATGCTCCCCGAATAAAAAAGGATACATGTGTTACTCGCCAGTATCAAAGAAATTTTACGATTCCATGGATGTTATCTTTTTTGAAAATCAACCTTACTTTCCCAAAATTGCCATTTAGGGGGAGAATCCAATCACATGGGAATATCAGCTTTGGGAAGATCTTATTACTGAAGCACCAAACACTTTTCCAACTCCCTTTCAAGTCCAAAACATCCAATTAGATCCTCAAAGCTTGAAGTCCACACAAGGAAAAACAAACAAAGAATTGATTGTTTATTCAAAAAGACATAAAACTCAGAAGGATCTAGGAGAATGTACACCTTCAAAGCAAAACCAAGAATCTGAATCGATTCTAAAGATACTTGAAACCAATACAAGTAAAACTCTTACTGAATCTGATTCAATTGAATCTTTTGATGATCTTGATCAACCGATTGCTCTAAGGAAATGTGTGAGATCATGTACTCAACATCTAATCTGTAATGTGGTTTCTTATGAAGGTTTATCACCCAGTTATCAGGCTTTTGTTGCCGCACTAAACAATATGCAAATTCCTAATAATATTCATGAAGCACTCATACAACCAAAATGGAAGATG